TTCTTCTTGTATAGAAGAAAGTCCTAATGGACAGAAGCCTCCTAAAACTTTCTGAGTTTAGTCTGGAGAGTGGAAAGGAGAGCATTATTTGAGCAATAAGAGCATCATTCTGAAAGATAATAGCAGTGTTTAAAAGGATATACAAGCTAGAACCAATATCTTAATCCATATTTTTCTAGAGCTTTTTTAAAGTCTTGCAGAGACCTATTATTTTGAAACACCTTTTTTTATATAGTACACAGTCAGGAGGAGACTTGGTCAGACATTTGACTTCTGCTGTGGAGCACAGTGACTGTTGTTTATTTGGAGGCACAACAGTTTGTTCCAGCTGTCAGAATCCTAAATAAATAGCAACCCCTCAATTACTCCAGCAACTGAAACTGTCATGAAATGTCTGATAGTGTTGTTTTAGCAAGGACTGAGGCATCATGCTATGTAAACAGATATGCAGTCACCCAGCAGCTGGAGTATTGGCACCTAATAATTGCTTTCCTTCTTGGCATTCTCTGCTCGAACTGTGTTCTTGAGAACTTTAGCAATGCAAATCTGGATTTTTTCTTCAAACACATTTTTCAATAAATGCAATAGGTCTAACTCATCTCTCTTCAGCATCACATTGATTTCACTGCTTGAAAATCACAGCTTTTCTGTTCTGTTTTTTCAGTGTAAAGCCCCTGCCAATGGAGGCAGGTGCTGTCACACTTGAGAGGGAAGGGTACGGGACAGTGCTCTCGCCCGTGACTCCATCGCATGACGAGGAACACACGCACTGGGGTCTGTGGCCCCTCCTGTCCTTTCCACAAAATGCAGTCCTGCAGAGCATGAAGGGAAACTCAGAATGGCTAGGCAGGATCAAACCAGCAATTGTTTCTGTTCTTGTTGAAGATTAGGTGAATAAGAAGAGGCTCCTAAAGGTGTGTAAATCTGCATATCTGCATTCTTGGAATATTTTAAAATAACTCACCAAGCAAATAAGGGTGTCTGAACCTGGGCAGTTTGAGTTGGCTTCTAGTCCTGAAACCTGTTATATACAATACTTTGCATTATGCCTAAACAACTAATACTATTGGGCTTGACAGAGGGAAAGAATTGAGAAGATGGTATTTCCAGAAAGCAGCATTTACTGCTGTTCTTATGCTTCATTATCAAATGGGACATTCATCCACATTGCCTAGAGCTTGTGCTCAGTGATAAGCCTGAGACATCTGGGTTTTTTTGTCCTGCTTTGGTTTAGCTTCTGCAGGTTTTTCTGTTGGCAAAGAGATGGCTTATGAGGAAAAACAGATGGTTTCAAGAAGGCTGGTGGTAATGATTTGTTGGTTTTAGGGGCTACACCAAATCTAAACACAATAGAATAAAAATACGTGACCATGGAGACAGGCTCTTAAGTAGTGTCCATTTACATACAAACAACAAAAAAGCACCAATCCTGTAATATCAAGGAAGATTCCTTCCTTTTATTTCGCCAAAAGCTTTGTAACTGGTGCATCACAGCTCTAGATGTAATCACAAAGGTAGGTCACCTGTCCAGCAGATGCTGTAAGAAATCAGTTACTGTGAAAGGATTTCAAGTCCTGCTGCGTATCTGATTAGCAGTGACATACTTCGTCCATTTTGATTTCATGCAGTATGCTGTTTCTAAATAAGGGCTGTCACTTGGCAAATCCGTTAGAATGAATTGTTCTAAATATTAATAAGGTTTTCTACCGATGCTGGACCAGTCGAAAGAGAACAGCCCAACATTTGTATTTCATCCTCTACAGCTGCAGGCTTTGATGGTATAGGTAGCCTGAGAGCCAGTGACTGATTTTGCTCACCATCAGTTGAGCATAATTTTCATAGAAACAAACTGTGTTAAAAATCATTAATTCAGCACTACCTCTTCAGCATGAACAATTTTGGCTTTCTATAACTATCTTTTCTAAACCAGAGAAAGAAACCTAAAAGTTATCCACTATGTGATAAACAGGTGTCTGTGTCTTTCTCCTTTATATTTTGCTGGACAGAGGAGTATATAATGGGGAAGGGTCGCTTGATGCATCCAGTGTGCCTTAAACCAGTGTGTACCAGTGCCTTGTGGTCACAGGTGACAGATGGACCTTTAGTCTGGCTTTTAGAGCTGTTCCTATGCAGTAGAGTTTGAGACTGGTGTGGACAGATGAACACAGGAGGCAAGAGATCTGCCCTGTTTGCCACCATAGGGGTATCTGTGCAGGCACAATATTTGTGTCTGATGTAACTAATCTGGCATGGAATATTTTTGCCACAGGAAGAGTGAATTACATAAGCTATTTCTAAATGGAATGTGGCACGTGATGCTCATTGATTTTTATGCCTTTAAAGTTTGAGGTTTAACGGTGGGCATGTAACTGTGCATTGAGATATCTTTTTTTCAGAAGATGAACATTTTGAAATATTGCAATATCTGCTTATCTCGGGATTCAAAGCTACAACAAAAGAAGAACATCTGTGCACTGAGGCAAGATGGAAATCTTGGAGCACTTCTTCATTGTCACATTATGTCTATTATCCTGTAAACATTCTGCTGTATGGCAGCACAATTTGTGTGTGTCTCTTCTGAACTCTGGGGTATGTTGGTGTTTTTCCAGAAGGGATTCAGGAAAGGAGTAGTAATTTATCTGACCCACAGACAGTGACGAAGGAATAGTAAGAATTTGAGTAAAGCATAGTTCACCCTCACAGGCTTTCTCTGAAAACATGTTTTTGGCATTTGCTTATAATACATTTGGGAGTTAAGAAGTAGCTTTAGCTCTTGTGGAGGAACAAATGTACCATTCTGGTCACTGTTTGGGGAGGATTTTTTTTTTTCTTTTTCCTAACTGGATGGTGGTTGAGTTTGTACGGAACTATGTTGGATATACCTGCAGGAGTAGAGGTGTGTTAGTATAAATGGCCTAATGCAGTGGTTTTCGACCTATCTCAGTTTACAAACCCCTCACCTGAAATATTTCTGATGAAAGCAAAGCATCCTTACAAATGTCATATATTGACCATTACTCTTCACTTGTATCTGATAAGTAATGTAATTCAGTGGTTAGCACTAGCAGAGTATTTGCGGAATTGTTGCACTAACTATACCAGTGGTCTAAAATAAATGGGAATATTGGCAGGCCATGTCCCGTAGGGTATTTCAGAATTTCCAGTCTTTGTCTGAAGTAGTCTTAACTGGTTAGTCTTCAGGACGTACTCTAAAGCATACTTTGATGCCTTCCCCCCCCCACCCCCGCTAAACTACTAGAGGCTGAAAAACAAAGCACTGAAAGGACATGGCATTGTGCTAGTTTATCATAGCTAGCTGTCAGTGTTGTGTGCTCCCACAAACTGGAAAGTGAGAGATGGACTATGAAAGATTTCTTCTGTTACAGGGATCTCTGGAACAGTGAGCCAGACCATAACCCCTCTTTGCCTGCTGTTCCAGAGACTGGGCAAGCACTGCAAACAGTCTGCCTTGAGATTAGTGTATCAGGCCTAAGGTCGGAAAGGGGGCTTTCCACTTAAGTACTTTTGTGGTCCAGAGCTTTGATTTGGTGTTTATTCTGTGGCTACAGTACTGCAGGGAGGAGGTTGGGGTGTCTCAGAAGACCAAAACCATCCAGATAATATGCAGTTCCAGCAAATGTGTCACTGTGGCTCTGCTGTTCAGTATTTCCATCTAATGTGTTGCACAAATCTGAATCCAAAGTACTCTTGTAGTAAAGCAGGGTTCTAGGGTGTAGAACTCATCACCAAAACATTCACTTGGATGTCACATAGGCAAAAGCAACTACAGATTCACAGGGGACTTGAAAAATCAGGCCAGACTGGCTGTATGGCAGGGAGGCAGAAATCATACTTTTGCTGAAGCTGATTCAAATCCAGGAGCTCATTTCTGTTCACCCCTAACTTTTATGATTATCAGTCAAAATATGAAAATTTATAGGTAGATACTGTGATGAATAGGGCTGTATCTGTTTTAAAATGCTGTGAATCATCTAAGCCTAAGAGACATCTGGAATAATTTCATCTGCAAGCTGTAGTCAGTAGATTTGATAATGCCTACCACAATCATTTTTTAAGACAATTATAAAGACTGCTGGAACTAGCCTGGTCAAGCTGCTTTTCTAATTGCTTCTCTGTTCCTAAAACGTCCTTTTCAGGACTGTTGCTCTACAAGCAAGCTTCTTGCAGTCTGTCTTTGAAACAGTCAGACTCTGTTCATTGCCATTAGCCCCACAGCCAGTTTGGTCCATTGATGGTCACAGCAGTAATGATGCTGCACCTACATTCTCTTGCATAAATATTTTTGTTCTGTCCTTTATCTCCCATTAGTCAGCCAACTTGGACTCAGCTCATACAATCTGTTTTGAGACACAACAAGTAATCACTGTTCGGCTTTAGCATCAGTATGGTTATATCATGTTCTAATTTTATTATTCTGTCCCAGATCTTGTTGCTAAATACAGCAGTATCTGGGAA